TTTATTTTTCGTTCCATTAGACAGATTATTGATATCAGCTAGTAAGTTGTTTACGTGTGGGTCATTGGTTAAGCTTAAAAATTCACTAAATTGTTTGACCTCGTTGTACCATTCATGCATAGAACCTTCTGAATAGTGTAGATATTTCAGGTGCTTTAACACCAACTTAAACATGATAACTTTTAGAAATGAATAGCTCAGTATATAGTGTGATTTTAGATTTTGAAGGTTGTCGGTAGTCCAATCCAGTGTATGTGCGTCAAGATGAGATTTTTCCAATCGTACTTTGGTTATCTCTGGCCAGCTCGCAATTGCTCTGCCTATATACATTAAATCACGTTTTCTAAAATATAGATTATTCATTTTCAACTTTTCTACAAACTCATTAATAAATGAATCCACTAATATATTGTTTGTTTTCAGCAGTTCTATGGCCTCCTTATTATTTTTGTGCACTATATCTTTTAACACAATTTTTGGCGGATAAGGTTTTGAGTGAATCAAATTATAGAAACTATTAAATGATTTATCTTTATGGCATCCGTTTAGGTCTTTATATAGTTTATTGATGACATACTTGTGTGTGTCTTCAAGTTGCTGATAATCTGCCGGTATGTCCTTTGAACGTCTAGCGAAATCAGTTACTAAATTCGTGTACAAAAATATTAGCCACAGGCATCCCATATTCCGTATTCCTAAACTGTACAAAGAAGCTATCTGGAATTTAATGGTATTTTTATAATAACTTTCGTCAACTGCCGTTAGTGTTGTTGGCGTATTATATAGAGGGCTTATCAAAATCTGAGTTAGCAGCATATGCTTTAACCCACTGAACAGATATGTGCATTTTAAATAATCAGACTTACTAAAGCTTTCGATATGATCCTCGCTGTGATATTCGTATCTGATATCCATTAATTTAACCGATTGACAAAAGAATAGCACAAAACAATAAAAAAATGTCTTGAGCTTCATAGTTTTTTGTAAAATCAATAATTGTTTCGTCGAAAAAGTTTTGTTTTCTTGATGCCTTTCGAGGCAGAGAAATATTGCTACTGATGAAACATGATTTTCGTCGTATAATAATGTATACTTTGATCGATAGTTTAGCGATTGGAGTGTCTACAATAAACATTCGTGTTGTTGTGGCGTTACTTTAAAGAAACAGTTGTTTTTATTTATATTTGTTCAGACCACATTTTGTTTTGATTCAATATATGAACTTTCTGTTCTGCAATGCAATAATTGAGTAAAAGATAAAATATTTTTGCCCGTGTACAATTTTTTTTTAAAGAAATATATGGTATTATGTAAATCAACCAACGAAATCCGTAATCATAATAATACATTTATTTTTTTTTGGTTTTAACCTGTACTTGGATACCAAATGCTTATTCTCATAGTATAGTTAGGTATTGGCTAACATTTGTTTTAATCGCATTTTGTCCTTGAATCATTGGGTGTGGTGATGACTCTGGCTTATATTATAATACCAAACTACATACCAACTACATTTGAGTAATAAAAAATCTGATTTGTTTCCACCTGTTTAATAATGGTATTTTGTTTTAAACGAACGGGTAATTTATGGCAATCGATTCCTGTTCGGGCGTTACCTCGACCACTACCACCCCACACCACCACAGTACCCATCACCACCGATTACTACTACTACTGTTACTGCAGCTGCACTATCGTCCATCGCACCGACTGCTCAATGCTGCGTCCAACTGCAGATGCACCGTTTTCGTTTTTATTTTTTGTATACTTTCGCACTTCAACTTACCGATTAAATCCGTTTCCTTTGCCGTATACCGCGTGTGGTTCTACCTAATACTGTCATCGTTCTCTTACCGGGTCACCTGGACCACTGGAGATTCATCGACAACCAACAGTCGCCGTCGGAGTTCAGACCAGATACATATATATATATATATACTTTATATTAATTGTATAACAAATTATGAGTTTATAAGTTATCGCCTCCCCCTTCTGTATATGGTCCCTTAAGCTTAATCCCTGGCCAGGTTAATTTTACGTTATTTCGGTTTATGTTTTTTGCAATAGCGAAGTTGTTTTTAAAGAACAACCTTATGGTCCTATTTTTTTATCAAAACACCTTTTTACAGTTCAAATCCCTGACATTATTTGGTCCTTCGAATGGATTTGCAATACCTAAGTGTTTGAAACTAGTGAAATTATACAAATTCATTTAAGTGATTCTAAATAATTGGTTTATTCATTACTGTTCGTGAGTTATAATTAGTTTAGTTGTTACCGTTTATTTTTAATAATAAGTACTGCACCGTTGGGGTTTTCATTAAGTTGGACTTTGGACCGTGAAGAGTTGTATTTGGTTTTAAACGATTGAGTTTATTATTCACCGACTGTACTTACCCCGAAGACAATGCGCATCTTCGCTTCCTTTTCAATAATACACACTAAATTATATAGATTATATAAATTATTATTATTATAGTAAAATATTGTTTGCCTTAAAAATACCCTGATTTTCAAAGTCACTAGGTGATCAATAGTTAGTCCATGAAACGTCCATGTCATCGGTTGTCAAATTCGGTTATCGTAAGTCTTATTTAGAAGGAGGACCATTGAAGCTCATAAGTAATTTAATGTTAACCGACAGAAACCTATGAGTTGGCTTTATCACAATTAACAGTGCGATATTCCAACCGTCAGGTGATAGCCAAAAGTTGTCTAGATCAACTACTTAGTGCGCCAAAAGCATTATCTGGGGACATCAGTTCCATCAGGAGATTACTGAATGTAATGATCGAATCAACTGGAGCGTTACAAAATCTATCCTATGCTGTCGATCAATGGGATCTAATTGTTCAACTTTTGTTACAAAAAAAGTTGGATCAACAGCTTAGGACGCAATGGGAGTTGTAAGTGGATACGTCAGAGGATCCAACGGTATCAGAGTTTAGCACCTTCCTTCTTAAATACTGCAAGTCTGCCACAGTTAGAACAAGCAGGTATAATTTATTATTAATATTAATATAATATTATGTTGAACAATTTACCATTACAGAAACAGAAAACAACGTAAAGTTCAACGAATCACCTATTGGAACTACCAACTTAAATTAAGTCGATAATAACTAAACGTTTTGGTATTCACAATAACAGTTAACAAGATTACCAAACTTAATTGTGATGAATTTTTTTGTAGATTCTTTATAACGCAGTTTACAAATATCTAAAGTCTTTAGGCAACAACTCTGCCGTTTGAGCAGTCCATTTTATTGTATTATTTTATTAATAAAGTTGTAAACAAATTAAATCGAAAATTCTATATTTTGTGTAAATTATTTGAGCTCAGATTTACATGTTTTGATATTATATTGAATATATTGAACATAACTAAAAAATAATAGCGACGCGTCACGACGGTTGTGCACATATATGTATGGACTTGTGCGATTGTAAACGACCGTTTTAGAGTTATTCTTTACATTTTACTTTATAAAGTATAATAATTTTTATAATAACAAATAAATCTACACTGTGTTGTTAGTTGTTACTTGTTGAACGTATAAGTATAAAGTATTGATTGTAGGAAAAATGATAACTAGATTAGAGACCATACTGCTGTAATACCTGTTAACGACATAAATTATGTATTATCACCAATGCAGTTATTATTTTAGTTACGTCTTGTACCACGGTCATTAATGTTTTCGATTAAATCGCCATTCGTAGCTAATTAAGTGGGTTTGTAAAACTAGCCTGTGTACCTATGTTGGAATAGGCAATCTGCAGATAAGAACCGCTTGTCTACCAATATTTCAATGTCTTTTATACAATGTGTACCAAAAAATCTGGGGAAAAAATGTTGTTCAAAATATTAATATCTTATGAGAAAATGAGTGTCTTACCCAAAATGAATCACCCTGTACAGCGTGGCCCACAATTATTTGACAAATGAAATAACTTATGGTCTAGTGAATATTTTTGAGATTTTTTTTAAAAATAATTTATACTCATTTGCGCTATAAGCACCACGGTTATTATTGCACTTACCTGTTTTACCTTTTTCAGTTTTTTTCAAGATAGCCATTTTTTAAAAAGAATTGGTTAAGAATATTTGTATTTTTCATCATCCGTTCAAAAGTTATATTCATCAGTGTGTTCATCTGGGTGGGGTAACAGTATAACAAATAGTGGAAAATTGAGATCACTTGGAATAAGAAAGTTTACAAAAAAAATGCAATTATTAATTAAACCCAAAGAGATATCTAGTGGTTCACGATAAGTTGATCACCCTGTTTTTTTGTCTAAGTTGTAAATAATAATAATAATGAGGGTTAAAACCATAGTCACATTGACTAAATTAGAGAAAAACAAGGTTTAATAAAAACTCTCGTATTGTGATTGCATTATGTGCTTGTAGTATGCTCCTTGATTTTGCATTTCGATATGTTGACTTTTTAATAATAATAATAATTGTAATAATATATTATATAAGTATTATTTTTTCAGTTTTCTCTGTTAATTTTATTTTATTACAAGTACTTATATGTTGCGCCCAATAAGTGTTATTTAAACTTCCCTTACTTTTCCACAAACAATACCATACCCATATCATCCCACCTACTTACATAACTACCTACCAAACAGAAGGGGCAAGTGTCCTCGGCTTCCCTGGGTTTGTGCCACTGATACAGTTGGTATTTTATTAAAACTTTTTTATTTATCAATCTCTTATCGCAAGGGGGCTATAATTTTATTTTAATAAAGCAATGTATACAAAGTTTTATTGTTGCTATTTTCTTTAAATTAAATGACATCAAAATAGTATATTACGAAAATAAATAATAAAATATAATTAATATTTTAATGTGATTATTTATTGTAGTTAAATTTGCAGTTAGGACATGATCAACATATGGGTATCTATAATAATATGTTTTAATTTTAAAATTATTACTTATTTATAAGTTATTATTTATTATAAGTTGTTTTGGTAAGTCGAAATCTTACTCCTCCATATCATTGTCCAGTTTTATTTCATCAATGTATTTTATGAGTAATTGAATGAGGTTAAAATCGACATAACTGAACGTCCGACTGAGTTGAACAAAAAACTTCTTAGCGTTTTCCAAACTGTTATACTCAACCGGCACATGGGTAATTGTATTTGCCAAACTTATTGTATCAGCATTCGACGAACTTGCTTCAGACGTCTCAGATTCTTTACTGTGTATTTTGAATAGTTCGCCAGCCTCACACCCGAGAGGCAGACAAAGCGATTCTAGTATTGAGTATACATCGCTAACCACACTATCTATTTTCTCTGTTCCATTAGAGAGATTATTGATAGCAGATAGCAACTTCATTACGTGTGGGTCGTTGGTTAAGCTTAAAAATTCACTAAATTGTTTGACCTCGTTGTACCATTCATTCATAGATCCTTCTGAATAGTGTGAATATTTCAGGTGATTTAACGTCAGCTTGAACATGATGACTTTTAGTACTGAATAGCTCAGCGTATAGTGTGACTTTATATTTTGAAGGTTATCAGTAGACCAATCCAGTGTATGCGCGTCAAAATAATATTTGTCCAATCGTTTAATGGCTATGTCTGGCCAGCTCACCTTTCCTCTGCTTATATACATTAAATCAGATTTTTGCAAAAAAAGATTTTTCATTTGTAACTTCTCTACAACATTTTTATTAAATGAATCCGCAAATATATTTTTTTTTTTCAGCAGGTCCGTGGCGTCTTTATTATTTTTATGCACTATATTTTTCAACTCAATTTCTGACGGATAAGGTTTTGAGTGAATTATATTATAGAAACTAACATAAGAATGATCTTTATGGCACCCGTTTAGGTCTTTAAGTAGTTTTTTGATGACATACCTGTGCGTGGCTTCAAGTTTCTGATAGTCTGACGGTATATCCTTTGAACGATCAGCGAAACCAGTTACTAAATTCGTGTACAAAAGTAGTAGCCATAGTGATCCCATATTCTTTAATTTTAAACTATACAAAGAAGCTATCTGGAATTTAATGGTATTTTTATAATAACTTTCGTCAACTGCTGTCAGTGTTGTTGGCGTATTATATGGAGGGCTAGTTAAAATCTGAGTTAGCAGCATGTGATTTAAACCACTGGACAAAAATGTGCATTTTAAATGATCAGACTCACTATAATTTTCGATGTTATCTTCGTATATGATATCCATTAATTTTACCGATTGACAAAAGAATAGCACAAAACAATAAAAAAATGTCTTGAGCTTCATAGTTTTGTGTAAAATTCAATAATGTTCCGTCGAAAAAAGTCTTGTTTGCTTGATGCTTTTCGTGGCAGAGAAATATTGCTACTGATGAGTTTCGTCGTATGATAATATATACTTTGATAGTTTAGCGATCGGAGTGTCTACAATAAACATTGTCGTGTTGTTGTGGCGTTGCTTTAAAGGAACAGTTTTTTTTTTTTTTATATTTGTTCAGACCACATTTCTTTTTATTCCAATGTATGAACTTTCTGTACTGCAATGCAATAATATAATGTTAGATAAAATGGTTTTGCCTGTGTACAATTTTTTTTAAAAGAAAAATATGTTATTATGTTATAACTAACCAACGAAATCATTTATTGTAAAACATTTATTATTTTGGTTTAACCGGTACTTAGACACCAAATGCTTATTCTCATAATATAGTTAGGTATTTGGCTAACATTCGTTTTAATCGTAAAATCCCGGAAAATGCTTAACAGAAAGTAAAAATACGGAATCCACGGTGTATCCAATTGTAAACCAGATTATAATTTTTTTTGTTTATTTTATACGCGGTTTGACTCCCGGCCGCCCGTCCTACCTTCATCTAGTACAACACGGTCGCTGCGACCGCCGCCAGTCGCTACGCAGCCGACTCGGCTGGCAATTTTTAAGTATTTTTTTCTCATGCAGGTCACATTGCTTAAATTGAATAAATATGAATTACAGTAATAATAGGATTTATACATCAATGAAGCTACATCATTTGTCTTAAACAAACTAAGATTATATATCCCTATCTGCTAATTATTAGACAGCTTTAGTTGTAGATTAATAACACATTGGACATGATAATGTAATACTTAATAAAATAAATCCTGAAAAGACTAAATAAACACATGTATACCTACATCAATAATATAATATAAAACAAATTATTATAATAAAACGAAATTCACAAAGATATAATTGTGTGTATAATTATTCTAACACCTTACGGCTTTTCAAATAAAATAGTATATGTTTTTAAAATTAATAGTATGGTCAACTTTGGTAAATTAATCATCTAATTATTATTAATATATTTTTTAAAAAGAAACGCGTGTAGAAAAATGTATTAGATATATCCAAAAAAAGTGTCATGTTCAAACATAAGTATTATAATAGTATCTATTAGTATTATATAGTATCTATTTGGTGAACTTTGTACACATTTTTACTTTATACGTGGTACATATAATATAACTTCTCGGATTTTTTTAATTTTAGGAACTATAAAAACTAATATTGTTTGTTTTACAAAATTTAAAAGAAAACAAATTTGTAAGAATCTAAGTCCCGCCGCAAATAACAAATTTTAGCAAATAACTTTTTAAGTAACTATCCAAATCTGATTATCGACCAGTCAAAATTTTCATCAAATTATTTTTAATTCAAAAAGCTAATATAAAAAAGTTACCATACAAACATTCTATGTTGATAAGGTTAACACACGTAAGGGATAGGATTATAGTTTTAAAAAAATATATTGAAATTGGGCGAAATAAACTACAAAAGTATAAAAAAGAATAATTTAGAAAAGTATTTTATCTTCCGGGATATTAACACCCATTATACACACCCGATTGTACAATAACAACCTTTATCACGAAGCACAAAAAGTGCCGTTGTCAGTGGCGTATTTAGGGTTTTCTGCCTATAGGTACTTTCCAATTCGCCGCCTTTCCCTTCTAAAATTATTTATAAAACATATTTGAATATTATACAATTTGTTATAATATCCTACACAAAAAAAAAAGATACGTTATTACTGAAAAATAATTGTACGTAATATCTTTTTTTGCAATTTTATATTAAATATATTAATATATATTAAATATTATTATATATTTAAAACTTTAAAATTGTTTGCATTTTTTTTTTTAATTATAAATTAAGGGTTAATAAATTATGGTTACGATAACAAATGTTCTTAAATTGAAATTATATCAAAAGTATTGTAAAACTATAAAACCATGTTCTGTTTTACATTTGAAGTTTTTTTTTTATATTTGACCACTAACCCGCCTACCAAATAATAAGTGGAATTTCCACCCCTCCCACTACCTCTGGTTCGCGTCACTGTGTAGTAATACAAATAACAATTACGTGAAAAAAAATGTTCTTTGATAGTAAAATGGTAGGTAATCGTGCTCAATTGAAAACCTAAGGTCATCATTCATCCGCACGTTCTCAATAAAAACACCACTGTCAACTAAATGACGAATAATACAACTATTCATATTAATTAATAATATCAATTGTTAATTAAACCCAAAAAGATATCAAGAGTTTTACAATAAGTTGATCACCCTGCGTATTTTTCAAAGTTGTAAGTAATAATAATGGTGAGTGTTAAAATCATAGTCACATTAACTAAATTAGACAAAGACGAGGTTTAATAAAAAATCCTCTTGTATTGTGCTTGCATTTATATATGCTACTTGACTTTGCTTTTCAATATGTTGAATTTTTAATAATAATAGTAATAGTAATAGTAATATAATAATAATAATAATAGTAATAGTAGTTAAATATATGTACTATATATTCAATATTCTCTGTTATTTTAATTTTTTTAAAAGTAGGTACTTATATGTTGCACCCAATTAGTGTTATTTAAACTTACCTTATTTTTCCCCAAACAATACCATACTCGTATCCACCCACCTTTTTACTTAACTACCAAACAGAAGAGGCAAGTGTCCTCGGCTTATTTCGGTCATATTTCCTCAAATTAAAGTAGGTTTCGATATTGCTTATTTAATATTTGTTCAGAGACACAATACCATAATTTTTTAATCGTTAAATAAGTTGTGGTGGATTAATAGAGTTGATATTTTATTAAAACTTTTTTATGTATCAACCTCTAATTGCAAGGGGGCTATAATTTAATTTTAACAAAAACGAGCATATTATCATGTTTTATTGTTGGTCTTTTCTATAAATTATAATAGACTCAGTCACGTCAAAATAGTCTAAAATGAAAATAAATAATCAAATAATATTAATATTTTAATATGATTTATTTAATGTAGTTAATTTTGCAGTTATGACATGTTTAACAAATGGGTTTTTATAATAATAATATTGTTTTAATTTTAAAATTATTTCTAATTTAAGTTTTTATAATAATATTAGACTACAAGAAATCCAAAACTAACCTCTCCATATCGTTTTCCAGATTGATTTCATCAATATATTCAATGAGTAATTGAATGAGGCTTAAGTCGACATCTTTGAACGCACAACAGAGTTGTAGCAAAAACATTCTAGCCTTTTCCAAACTGTTATATTCAACTGGCACATGGGTAATTGTATTTGCCGAACTTATTGTATCAGCATTCGACGAACTTGCGCCAGACGCCTCAGATTCTTTACTATGTATTTTGAATAGTTCACCAGCCTCACACCCGAGAGACAGACAAAGCGATTCTAGTGTAGAGAATATATACTTAACCACACTTTCAATTTTCTCTGTTCCATTAGAGAGATTGTTAATGGCAAACAGCAATTTCTTTACGTGTTCATCGTTGGTTAAGCTTAACAATTTACCAAATATCTCGACCTCGTCATACCATTGAGTAAACTCGTGGTTATTCGAAAATGTTGAATAGTGTTGTAGATATTTTAGGTGTTTGAACGACAACTTAAACATGATGACTTTTAGTAATGAATAGCTGAGCGTATAGTGTGACTTTATAATTTGAAGGTTGTCAATAGACCAATCCAGTGTATGCGCGGCAATATAAGATGTTTCAAATCGTATTATGGTTATGTCTGGCCAGCTTACCTGTGCTTTGCTTATATACATTAAATCAGATTTTTGGAAAAAAAGATTTTTCATTTGTAACTTCTCTGCAAACTTTTTAGTAAATGAATCCGCGAATATATTTTTTTTTTTCAGCAGGTCCGTGGCCTCATTATTATTTGTGTGCACCATTTGTATCAACACATTTTTTGGCAGATAAGGTATTGAGTGATTCATATAATAAGAATTATCTTTATGGCACCCGTTTAGGTCCTTACGTAGTTTTTTGATGACATACTTGTGTGTGGCTTCAAGTTTCTGATAGTCTGCCGGTATATCGGTTGAACGTTTAGCGAAATTAGTTACTAAACCCGTGTACAAAAGTACAAGCCACAGGGATCCCATATTCTGCATTTTTAAACTATGCAAAGAAACTATTTGGTATCCAACCGTACTTTTATAAAAACGTTCGTAACTGACCGTCAGTGTTGTTGGCGTATTATATGGAGGGCTCATTAAAATCTGAGTTAGCAGCATGTGTTTTAACCCACTGAACAGATACATGCATTTTAAATAATCAGACTCACTATAGCTTTCGATATGATCCTCGCTGCGATATTCGTGTCTGATATCCATTAATTTAACCGATTGACAAAAGAATAGCACAAAACAATAAAAAAATGTCTTGAGCTTCATAGTTTTGTGTAAAATTCAATAATGTTCCGTCGAAAAAAGTCTTGTTTGCTTGATGCTTTTCGTGGCAGAGAAATATTGCTACTGATGATTTTCGTCGTATGATAATATATACTTTGATAGTTTAGCGATCGGAGTGTCTACAATAAACATTCGTGTTGTTGTGGCGTTACTTTAAAAAAACAGTTTAATATTTGTTCAGCCCACATTTCTTTTTTTCGCAATGTATACATTTTCTGTACTTCAAAGCATTAATATAATATTAGATAAAATATTTTTGTAAGCGTACAAT